GGAAAAAAATGCCAAAAAGTGGAACGACCAGCACACACACTCTCATTGCTCCCGTAAAGCAAAACACACACACAGGGAGAGAGAGAGAGAGAGAGATGTCGCCCACTCAATGCAATGGAAACAAACAAAAACAGTTACGGTGCTCAGCCCATGCAGCCAGGCAGGACGGCAGCGGTGCGTGTCGTGCAAAAGAGGGCACCAACGGGCCTGCATGGGTGTGCATGCAATATATACAATGGGCACATTATGTGTGTGCCTCGTGGGGTGAGGTGAGGGCGAGAGTCCATGCAAGGGGACACACACAGAGAGAGTGAGTGAAAGACGAGTGTGTGTGCGGGCGGTGCATGGCTCTCTCTCCCTCACTCTCACGCGGCCACCACCGCAGCAGCAGCCGCACACGCAACAACAAGGAGAAGCAAAAGAGGGGAGGTGGCGGGCGAGACCGCGGTGCTGCCGTCACTGTCGCCAGTCGTCGCCGTGCCATTTTTCATGGCTGTGGCTTCGACTGTTGTTTCTTTCGGAGGTTGAGCATTCTCAGTAGTGTCAGTTCCAGTGGTCGTTTCCTCGTGAAGTGGAGGGATTCTATTTGAAGACGGCGTTGCTGCTGCTTCTTGACTGCCAGTTGATGTACTCTGCATTGTAGTGGCTGCGGATGCAGGATGTTCGTTAATGCTTTCGGCCGCATCAGGTAAATTCTCTGATGCATCCGTGCTCTTGCTCTTTGTCTCCTCTTTTACTGACGTCAATACTTCGTGGTAAGTTTTTGGTTCTTTCGCTGCTGCTTGTGATGATTTCAATGGAGTCTTTTCACTTTCTTGTAATTTTGTATTTGGATCAGCTGACGATTCGTCTGTTCGGGAAGCTTCTAAACCCCCTTTTACCGTTATTTGTTCTCCCGAAGAGCGTAAACCACCGGCACCCAACGTGGCGACTTCGTTGTCATTCTGACCCGTTGTTGTTGGAGCAGAACTGTTTTGTTCCGGTCCGTTGTTGAGTGTATCTGCTGCCACTCCATCGTGTGGCTGGGCGTGTTGACTCTCCTTTGCTTCTGGCACCTTATCTTGTTTTGAAGGCTTCCCAACTGCATTGGGTGAAATACTGACGGTGGACCCTTCGCCACCAATGCGGGATGAAGAATCGACGCCAGAAGGAGAAGACCGCGAAGTGAGAATGGCGCCAGGAGCAGCAGGACCAGGAGCACCAGATGGTGTTTTTATTCCTCCTCCTCCTCCTGCTGCTGCTGGCGGTAGTACTACCGGTGGTGGTGTTTCGCGTATCTTCGCTTCTTCCTCCGCTTCTTCATCTTCGTTGTCTTCATCTTCTTCTTGTTTTTGATCGGAAATTAGTTTTTTACGCGACACAATAGCAGATGAAGGATCCTGTGTCGTCTGGTCCTTTCTTCTTGTTGCATCTGTTGATTCTTGTCCTGAAGCCACCGGCTTTTAATCTTTTATTTCGGGTGGCGAAACCTCTTTATTCCTTGCCTGGCCATCCTTGTCCGTGCTGACATCCCCGTTTCCAGCAGCAGCCGCAGCAGCAGAAGCAGCAACAACAGCAATCCGTTGACGTCTCCAACGACGACGGCCATCCACAACGGCACGCACACCGTCCATTGCCTGACGCACACACTCATCGACGGCGGACGCATTCCCACTGCCTCCTGTCCTCCTGCTGACCTCCTCCGCGCATTCCCTCCGCAGCCAAGCACGCCACTGCAAAAGTAAGTCCTCATCCACACTGCCATCGCCACCGCCAACACCGTCGGCCGCAATTCCAGATAAACCGCACCACGGCACGCAGAGGGCACACACCAGCAGCACACGGCCAGTCATCATCATCGCCATCATCACTCCTGCCACGTGCGTGTAGCCTTCAGCACAAACTAACAACACGTCAAAGCAGAGTGAAAGCAAAAAGGAGAGACACGGCTGCCACACCACGCCACAGTCAACGCACAGTGTCAAATTGCAGCAGCAACAGAGCACACACAATGAGGCGGATAGAACCAGCACGAATGCAAAACTTGCACACCGCCCTGCAAACCAGAAGATTAAAAGGCAAGAAAACAAAAAATTAAAAAATAAAGAAAAAACACAAGACTCCACTGCGCATGCACATGGGTTTGTCTGGGATACGTTCAACATGACGTATTTGGAGAAGCAACATGGACCACACAGCAGAGCAGCGGAAGCAAGTGAAGCAAATCACAATCATTATTTTCTCTTATTTATTTACATCAGACCACAGTAGACGCGCACAGCCCGTTCACACCTCTTCAGCCCACAGTGGTGTACGCCAGCGCGGATACGGCAAGCAGCAGCGGGGCACACACCCACGCAGAGCTGCTGAGACTGCCGTCGATTTCGCGAAGACGTGACGGTGCGCGGGTGGTCGTCGTGGTTGGCGCCTCTGCATTCCTGGCCGTATCACTTGGTGCCTCTGGCGCAGTGGTGGTGGTCGTTGTTGTAGTTGTGGTCGTTGTGGTTGTCGTGGTTGGTGCCTGTTCCTTAACTTCGTTACCAGTTAGCGCCATTTCTTTATTATGCTCCGGACTATTTACAACGGACTTATCGGAATCACCTGTTGATCCTAGTGAAAGGTTATTCCCTTTTGATGCCCCTTGCTGACCAGACGCATCTCTTCCATCTTGCAAAGTGGGTACTACACTTGGTCCTTCTCCTGTACCTGTCGATGTTGGAGTTGCTGACGCAGAGACGGTCTTCAATGGTGTCTCGGAAGGAATGGGCTCCTTACCTGAACTCTGTACAATACCTTCCGTGACTTTTGCTCGTGGATTATCGGAATCACTTGAACCCCCTGAATCCTGGAGCTTTGGACCCTGTCCAACTTTGCCAGATTTATCATCACCCTCTGCCGCGCACACGTACGGGCCGCAGCACAGGGCGAGCACCAACAGGGCGCACAGCAGACGGCACGTCATCATCATCGTGAGTGTGGTCGTTCGGTGGTGTGGAGCTGATCTGCACAGTGAGGGACATGGAGAGCAACAGAGGAGACGAGAGGTGCGGCAGACACACACACAGAGGGCACACCACATGAGGAGAGAGCAGCAGCCAGGCATGCACCGTACGCCGCACACACAGCCCTGTCGCAACACCAACACACAAATGGAAGAGGGAGAAGCAAACAGGAGCGGCACACAAGGCTCCACCGCATGCACATACGGCGAGAGCGGTCCGTCGTGTCGGCACCCCTCACGGAGGTGCAGCGCACACAGCAACACAAAAGCAAAGTAAAAATAATAAAAATAATAATCTCTGCACACCGCGTGAATTCGTTTTCCACGGGAAGTGCAGCCAATATTCATCAGAAGAACAATCTATTTTCCACTAGCCTTCTCTCCCCTCCAGCACACACCATTTCATGCAGGCCCGGCCACCATCGCAGCCGCGGCTGCACAATTGACACGAAGATGCCAAAGATTAGAGTTGTTGTGGAAGCCCGCGGTGCTACTGTCACAGTCGGCAGTGGGCCGCTCCTCCCCATCATCTCGTCATATCCACGGCGGTGCTGCAGAGCGGGTGCAGCGGCAATACACCCAATGGCGCAGTACATCAGCAGCAACACCAGCAATGGGAGTGGCGGCGTGGCATGGCGAGGCTGGCGCATGGCCTGAGGTAAATGCATTTCTTGGTTTCGTGTGAGCAGCAGCAGTAGCAGTGCAGCGTGGCTGCGGGAGGCGGGAGGCAAAGGAAAAAGAGAAAGAAAAGAAATAAAACGATTTAGTGCCAGTGGTGCGTCAGGATGCGGCACACGCAGCGGAGTAACAGGAGACCACAGAGGCGGCCATACAAACCGCGTGCGCACCAACTCCATCAATGGGAGAAACCGTCAACCCGTCGTCGACTGAGCGTCCATCACCGTCGCACACATTCCTTATCGGCCGCAACGCTCCCTGCACGCGGAGTGTTTAGTCTACTTCCCTCGTGGTGTTGCAGTATTTGTGTGACCGTCCACCAACCTGCCACCACTTGCACAGCGTCAGTTCCAGGTGCAGGAGCATCGCACAGCGCTCTCTCTTTCTCTCCCAGCTGCTCATATCATATGGCATCACCGCACGGCAGCCTCATCGTGATGCGCAGCCCTGAAGCGGGGGTGCAAAGCGTCGTGTGTGCAAATATATTTTTACCGTTTCTCAGGATGCTCAAAAACAAGTGTGACGGCATTGCAACTGTCGTGACTGTTTCTCCCCGAACTGCCACTGACCGAGAGGTTACTGTGAACGCACTGCGTGGGAGTCACCGTTTTCGCCGTTGCTCTCTTCACCGGCCCACGAACACACCGGCCGTTCCAACACGGTGGATATGAGCGTCGCCAAATACAGCCACAAGCACCAACACACCAACCCCCACAGTGCCCTCCGTGACCATCCGCAGCGTGCGTGCGTTCTTCCTCAGCATTCACGCCACTTCACAGCATGTGCGGCATGCCTTGTGTGCATGTGCTTGTGTGTTTGGCAGCGCCTATACTTGCAGAGCAGCTGTGCGCCACAAGAGAGTCAGAAGAAAGCAACGGCAGAGAGAGGCAGATAGCACACACGCAAATTACTCATATCATCACACACACACACAAGCAGCCCGCAGTATGGGTGCTCTCAACCACAAAACAATGAAAAACAAAACAAAAAGCCGAAGCGTGGGACGACCAGCGCACACACTCTCATTGCTCCCGTAAAGCAAAACACACACACAGGGAGAGAGAGAGAGAGGTCGCCCACTCAATGCAATAAAAACAAAACAAAAACAGTTACGGTGCTCCGCCCACGCAGCCAGGCAGGACGGCAGCGGTGCGTGTCGTGCAAAAGAGAGCACCAACGGGCCTGCATGGGTGTGCATGCAATATATACAATGGGCACATTATGTGTGTGCTTCGTGGGATGAGGTGAGGGCGAGAGTCCATGCAAGGACAAACACACAGAGAGAGTGAGAGAGAAGGACGAGTGTGTGTGCGGGCGGTGCACGGCTCTCTCTCCCTCACTCTCACGCGGCCACCACCGCAGCAGCAGCCGCACACGCAACAACAAGAAGAAGCAAAAGAGGGGAGGTGGCGTGCGAGACCGCGGTGCCGCCGTCACTGTCGCCAGTAGTCGCCGTTGTAGTTTTCGTGGCTGTGGCTTCGACTGGTGTTTCTTTCGGATTGGATGCTTCATTTTCATTTTGTTTTTCTTCTCGTGTCCCTGCACCATCGGCTGGTGAATCATTGTTCGGGATGCCCTCTTCAGTGCTCTTTTCAGATTCATTATTGGCGGCATCACCGTTTGCCGTGGGTGATAGTGGCCTGGATTCTGCATGGCCGGCAGGTGGTTCATTGTGTTGATTGGCTGTAATGGAGGCAGCGCTCTTTGTTTGTGAATGTTTGTTTGACTCAATGCCGTCTTGGGGTTGTTGTAACTGTTGCACCTTTCCTGAATCCTCAGCGCCGGAATGGCTATGCAGTGGTGTTGTTGGTATTGCTGCTTGTATTTCTGCCTCTTCGGCTGGTGCTGTTGTTAGTGTTGGTGCCTCATGACTTGTATTTTCTGTGTTTAATTCGTTTTTTTCTGGTTCTTCTTCCGCCTTCTCTTCACGACTGTCGGATTGGCTAAGAGGATCACTTTCGTCATCTTCCGGTGAATCATCGGAGGATTCATCACTCTTGGAAGTATTCTCCAAGTTGTGTTCTTCACCGTTCTGAGTGCCAGGGCTGCCAGATGAAGAAGAGGAAGAAGATGATTGATCAACGCTTTGAAGTTGGGGCCCAGTTGCCGTACTGTCGTTGCGATCCTCCTTATGATCTGCTTCCTTTCCTCCATTTGCATCCAACCCTTCTGGCTTCACCACCTGTCCTCCTGTACCTGATCCTCCGGGCGTCGGCGGTAGTGCTGCTGTCTGACCTGCGACAATACTTCCTCCTAAACCAGCCGCTGCACTGCCCACTGTATTAGTTCCCACAGACGTATCGTCCAACTTTTCCTTCGTATCCTGAGATAAACCTGGACCACCACTCAATTCATCTTGTCCAGCTTCCGCAGCTTCAACCGCCTTTATTAATGCCATTCGAGTGGCTAACAACCCGCAGTCCGCCTTTAGAGACACGCCGTCATCTCCACCATTACTCGTGTGCCTCAAACCGTTCCCTCCACCCTCACTGCAGTAATCGTCCATCGCGCGTCCAAAAACCGCACCGCACCACAGCACGCAGAGGGCACACACCAGCAGCACACGGCCAGCCATCATCATCGCCATCACTCCTGTCACTTACGTGCAGCCTTCAGCACAAACTAACAACACGTCAACGCAGAGCAAAACCAAAAGGAGAGAGACACGACACACTCACAGCCACCAGCAGAAGCAACACGCATTTCACGAAAGACGTCAAACCAATTAAATTTTAAAAAGGCACAACGACATGCAAAAATTAAAAAAAAAAAGCAGACAAAAAGCAATAAAGTAAAACAGTAAAAACACAAAAAAAAAACAAAGAGCTGCACACGAATGGCTGCAGTGCGCGTGCACCCATCCTCAACAGTGCATCGATGCAAACAGTCGTGTGCGTGTCGCGCTTGTATGTGTGCCTGGAATGCGTTCCACGTGACGGATGCGAGAGCAGCAAAATGGAGCACACATCATGGCGGCGGAAGCAAGCAAGGCGAAACACAATCATTATTTTATCCTATTATTTAGTACATCGGATCACAACAGCTGGCACGCACAAATACTCGTGATTGGGTGCTGGCACGCACAGCTTACACACAATTCTTCAGCCCAGAGTGGTGTACGCCAGCGAGGATGCGGGAAGCAACGCGGAGCACACACCCACGCAGAGCTGCTGAGACTGCCGTCGATTTCACGAAGAGGTGACGGTGCGCGGGTGGTCGTCGTCGTGGTTGACGCCTCTCTATTCATGGCCGTATCACTAGATGCCTCTGGCGTATTCGTAGTAGTGTTTGTCTTGTTTGGCATTTTCATCTTCTCATTTTATATCTGTGCCTTATGATTCTCATCACCTTGTGTATTTTACTGCGCCCTTTTATTTTGTGCATCTGACATACCGGTCGCACCTTGTGTGTGTGTGGAGACTGAGTTGCCAAACCTGCTGGTTCTGGATTATCGTTAGCCGAACGTAGTGTCTCTGGCGGAACTGGTGTCTGTCCAGTGATGGCTGTGCCTGCTTCCTTTGGAAAGAAGGTCCTTGACTTCTCAAACCCTCCTCACTGTCTCTCTCACTCTCTGTCTGTGGCACACCGGTCTCCCCACCATATGGCTGTAATGCACCAGGCGTATTTTTCTGTAGGATCCGGGTTCCCTAGCTCAGGGCTGGGAGGACTGCTGTTATCATCATTATCGTCTCCTGTCGCCGTCACGCACACGGACGAGCAGCAGCAGCACAAGAGCGCAAGGAACAACACGGCGCACACCGTCACCATCGCAGTCACCATCGCCCGTAGTGGAGTCGCTGGTGTCAGTCAGCCGATCGATGAGACGGAAAGGAAAAAGAATGGAACGAGAGGGAGGGGGACGGAGCACAGCGGATACAGCGAGAGAGAGCAGACAACATGAGGAGAGGGCAGCAGGCCCAGCCGCACAGTTCACACACCACGAGACGGCGTCCACGCAAGGAGGGCACACAACGCCAGCAGCCACCCACCATGCAGGAGGAGAAGACATCCACCACCATCTCCCCCAGCTCATTCCCGCAGCCCCAGGGAAATGGCCAAAACCCCGCGCCCACCACACAACGCACACGGAGCAAGCGAACCCTCATCCATCCATGAAGTGGCACAAAATTTCCTGCCATCCCGCCCTCAATGGGACACGGAGCCCAACTCAGCGCAGTCACACGCGGTGCATCAAACCCACAGGAAAGGAGACTCGGGCTGCGCGCTCCCTCTCTCCCACCTTCTCATGGCCACGGAGGAAGACAACAGCCACCACACGCAACTGCCAGCATGCACTACAAAAGGAGCATTCAAACCCACTGCAATGTGCATCTTGTGTGTGTGTGGTTATGTGTGCCTGCAGCAACACAAGGCAAAGATGTAGAAAAGAGGGAGCAGAGTATGCGGAGAGACGCACAAAAATGTGCAGCGGAGACGCATAACGGAAACAACAAGAAGACCGCTCAAACTCATGAGTGCACCGCAGCCCAAGCAGTGGCAATTCACACAAGATTTATTGAAAACAAAAAAACGTCCCCTTCGTCTTATATAAACCCCATCGCACAAAATAATTATAAATGAAAAAGAAATCGTCCATTACTGCTCCACACAAAATAAAAAAAGGGTCGATTGGCAGCCGTGTGGCCACACCAAACTCTCTGTATATATTTTGCCCGCAAAAGAAAATTAAAAAGATGGTTACATGTCTTTCAACCGTCTGACCCTCCATGTGTGTCCGCACATCGTTTATATTTCATGGGGTCATCTGCGTGTTGCTGCTCCCCTCAGCCCTCTCATCGGCGTGCGAGTGCGGCCCGCAGAGCACAGTCACTCGTGTGTGTGTGGGGAATGAGAGAAGCACGCAGACATGACGGGAGTCGCGTCACTCCATCGGGAGAGTGAGCGCAGCAAAAAAAAGAAATCATCGGAGGGGAGAGAAATGCTGACGAGGCCGACACCGAAGGGTGCGCCATCGCACGAAATAAACACGCAAAGCAAAACAAATCCTTAAAGAAAAACACGGCGGCAGGGTGTGGCTGTGTGTGTGTGGCGCTGCGGGTGTCTGCCCGCCCTGGCCGCAAAGAAAACAAAACAAGAGGGAAAGAAATGTGTGCTCCGCCCCACAGGCCCTCGTCGCACGCCAACACGTCACGGCTCCCTCAGCGCGCCGTTCGTCGCGGCCCCTCCTCATGCGTGCAGCAGGCGAGGCGCACAGGGCCGTCGTCATGAGCGTGTCGGTGGGTGTGCGAGTGGAGCAGTTGGGCGGGAAACACACGGCACCCCTCACAGGAAGAGTGCAGAAGAAACAATTGAAAGAGGGAAGAGTAAAAAAGAAAACCGTCCATAGTGATTGCCCCAAAAAGCAAAAAAAAGAGGGAATGAGGGAAATGATAGAAAAGAACAACAAAAAGTAAAAATAAAAACAAAACGCAAAGCAAACAGGGAATAAAATAAATGTTATTTGAGAAGGGAAATAAATTATCACGTGTATTTTTGTGCTGGGGCGGTCGCAAGTGTCCCACGCGGCAGCCAGTCACTCCTCACGGAGCCGCAAACACCCACAGTCCCAACAGAAGAAGCAGCGATGGCAGCAGTCCGCTCCCACGCACAGTGCCGGCATCGCTGTTATTCCCCTGTGACGCATTTCCAAGGCTGCTGCTGAGTGCCGCAGCCTTTACTTCGCCGTCCTGTGCATGGATGTCCTCCCGTTTCTGCCCATCCGCCCCTCCCACCTTCTCCCCATTTTCACCAGAGCGCGCACCAACCTCAGTTGTATCTGCGGGGTCAACTTGAGCCACGTCCGTAGCGGCAGGAGCGTTTGGATCTGCTTTGTCGGGGGTATCCACAGGAGTTTGGGGTGGTGTGTCTCCCTGCACCGCACCTCCAGCTTCCGCTCCCACCGTTGGATCACCATCGGATGGAGAAGCGACATCCACATTTTTGTTTCCACCGGAAGATACTCCTAAAGGCAGCTGGATTGCGGATTTCTCTTTTCCTAAGGAAGTCGTTACAGTGGACGGTGTTGATGTGGACGTGCTGCCACCACCCGTACCCTCATTTTCATTCAACAATTTAGGCCCCGACGGCGGTTGCCCGGCAGGAGAGAACTGCGACAGGGTTCCTTGGGCATTGTCAGACACCACAGGTGGAATGAGGGCTTTATTCGGGTTGAGGGCGCCAATCTCCGCAATACTCAACGGGCGGTTGTACAGCAGGACGTTCCTCACAGTCACAGACAATTCTTCTTGTCTCCCTGCGCCGCCTGCACTGCGTTCGTCCCCTCCAATGTAGAAGTGGGAGATCCTGTTCGCTTCCGCAGTTTTCAATTCAAATTGTCCATTCCCCACACGCTGACCATCGACGTACGCGGAACCCTGGGTGCCGTTCCGTAGCAAAATTACCACCTGATGTGTTGTATCTTTCTCCCAAGTGCTGCTGAGCTCCTTAGGCGTTTCTTCACCGCAAGACAACTCCCACTTACCTCCGCTGTTGTACGACAGTCCCAGGAGTACAGACTTCCCGCTGTCATCCATCTTCACACCCATCAAAGGAATGTGGGTATCTCCCTCCTCCGGCACACCGTCGATGGACACCGTCGCCACAAGAGTGAAGTTGTAGTTCGCAAAGTGGTACAGCTGATTCTCCCCTTGCTTGCCAACGGGCCACTCCGCCCACGCTCCCTGGAACGTCACACCATCGGAAGTCTTTGTTGCCCCCGTCTCCCCTGCATCCTTTGTTGCCCCATCTTTCTTCTTCACCGTGGCGTTCACCCCGAGGTACTCGTCCCTCCATGTGTTATCAGAGAAGTTGTCGGACAAAAAGCCAACCAGCCCATCCGTGATCTTAACAGTAGGGCTGCAGGCATTTTCAGGTGAGGTACTCTCCACAGCACTTGAAGTGGTGCACAGCTTGGAGACAAGGTCGTCCACTTTCTTCCACGTCGCCAGCACATCCTTCACACGCTGCAGCTGCTCAGTCAGAAGCACAGACCAAAGACTGTGTGATGATTCTTCATCGCCCTTCTTCTTCTCGTAAAGTACAATCAACTCCTCCTTCTTAGTTTCACTTTCAGCACTTTTGTACAACAGGGAGCTGGCGGCAGCGTCATCATCGGATACCGGCCCAATATCGAAAATGTGCGTATTGTCCGTCAGCCAAAGATGGAGTTCACTCTTTCCATTGTCTTCTGTATCAGTCTCCTCGGAATACACCGGCAGAGTAACGAGCATCACATTTCTGTTGCCATCAACACCGTCAATCGTCGCTGTGATAAACCCGCTTCTAACGGCCTTCGCTTCTTCGCCCTTTTTGTTGCTCCACACGCGCGAGAGTGTCCCGAGTGCCTCCGTCCACAATTCCCCCTTGTCACCGGACTCGTACACCCTGCGGCGGCCATCATCACACGCAGTCATCATCATGAGTTTTTTGTCCTTCCACTCCACGACGGAGGGATCACTGCAGCCATCGGCAGACATCCCCTTCGACAGCGTCCAACTCTTAGCATCCTTCGAGTATATGATCAGCGAGACGGTCTTTTTATCCTCCTTTGGTGCTTCACCCTTCTTCGTGCCTTCCACTGGGAACACAAGCGTGCCGTCATTAGTCTTAATACCCGATCCACCGCCGCCAATCAGCTGCGTCAAGCGTTTGTGTTCATCAGCAGAAAAGGTGCCGACCAGTCGCTGGTTCTCATTCCATTGGATTCTTTTCTCGCCGCCACCTTCGTCACTGACGTTTCCTTGCACCAGCAATAATCCCCAGTCGTCTGCTCCGCCACCCTCCTGACCAGTGGCAGCTGTCTGGCTGTATTTTCCAACAAGCATGTAAATATCATTTCCCTGCATAACTGTTGTTGGTCGGCACACATCCACTTTCTTCACCGCTGCTGAATGGTATTTTTCCAAAACTTGTGTCTTATCTTTGGCTCCATTTAGCAGTTCCACTGGTGTGTCAGCATTATCTTTCGTGAGTAGTTGCGATGCAATGCCAGTAAAAATGTTTGCATCACTCTTCTTGCACTGCGCCTCGGCAACGGCAAATACGTCACTCCCCACTTTTAGAAGACCGGGAACACCCAACGACTCCACAGTTACACCGCCCTCATTTTTGATGTTCTTCCATTTATAATTTGGTTCAGATGACTGCCCCGGAGCTTCCGCAGCACCACCAGCGTTGCAGCACATCATCACGACGAGGAGCAGCACCGCAGAGTAGAAGAGATGCCGGGACATGCTGGGTCTCTGCGGCTCACTCTCTCCTCCTTCCCTCCTCCTTCCGCTGGATCCGGTCACGCGGCGACGGTTGTGTTTGCGGGGTGCCTTCACTGCAGCAACACGTGAGAGCATATAAATATGTGTGTGTGGGCGGTGTGTGTGCTGTTGGTCCTTTCACTGCCTTCAAATTTCACAGTAGCGATTAGCGTTTAGCCTTACTTCCTTTCCTTCTTTGTGTGTGAGAAAGAGAGAGAAGAGGAAAAAGGAGTGAAACAGTGAGCACGGCCGCTCCTCCACAGTGAGTGGCATCATCATCCCCGCCGCAGTCACTCCCAACAAAAACAACTCACGCACACAGACACACGGAAAGAGACGGAAGAACAGTGCACCGGGAACACACAGCGACTGCCACTGCGGGTATGTTGTTGTTCTTCACGCGTCAGCAAATCTTCAAAGCCCACACACGCTGCCGCCAGTCGTTTTACTGTTGTCTCTCCCGCACCATCCAACGCACATCACCCCGCACAGCCGGAGAATCCTCCGTCGGTGCATGAACAGCGGGAGGAACACGTCGGCACGTGCAGCTTCTGGGCAAAAATCCATGCTCACTTATCCCAGGCACCCACAATGCCACACCACGTTAGTCAACTGCTGCACGACAAGAAAATCATGCCCTTAGCACGGAAATAAAACAAATCGCGTTCTCCGTCATCCCTCCTCACAAGGGCCACAGAAAAATCGTGTGCGTGCGTCCTCAGCGTTCACGCCGCTCCATAAAGTGTGTGACATGGCGTGTGTGTGTGTTTGGCAGCGCCTATAATTGCAGAGCAGCTGTGCGCCACAAAAGAGTCCAAAGAAAGCAACGGCAGAGAGAGGCAGATAGCACACACACAGTTTACTCATATCATCACACATACACACACACGCAGCCCGCGAAATGGGTGCTCTCAACCACAACAGAAGTAAAAAAAAAGGAAAAAAATGCCGAAGCGTGGAACGACCAGCACACACACTCTCATTGCTCCCGTAAAGCAAAACACACACACAGGGAGAGAGAGAGAGAGAGAGAGAGGCCGCCCACTCAATGCAATAAAAACAAAAACAAAAACAGTTACGGTGCTCCGCCCACGCAGCCAGGCAGGACGGCAGCGGTGCGTGTGGTGCAAAAGAAAGCACCAACGGGCCTGCATGGGTGTGCATGCAATATATACAATGGGCACATTATGTGTGTGCTTCGTGGGGTGAGGTGGGGTCGAGAGTCCATGCAAGGGGACACACACAGAGAGTGGGTGAAAGACGAGTGTGTGTGCGGGCGGTGCATGGCTCTCTCTCCCTCACTCTCACGCGGCCACCACCGCAGCAGCAGCCGCACACGCAACAACAAGAAGAAGCAAAAGAGAGGAGGTGGTGTGGGAGACCGCGGTGCTGCCGTCACTGTCGCCAGTCGTCGCCGTTGTATTTTTCGTGGCTGTGGCTTCGACTGGTGTTTCTTTCGGATTGGCATCTTTATTTTCATTTTGTTTTTCTTCTCGTGTCCCTGCAGCATCAGCTGCTGGATCATCGTCGTCAGGCGTTTGAGTGCCTTTGGATTTCGTATTATTCGATGCTCCCTCCGCACCAGATGGTAAAAGTGGCTGCTCCTGACCGACTGCTGATAATTTTTTTGTGGCACCGTTATCATCTTTCTTCTTTTTCTGCTCTTCTTCTTCCTCCTCGTCTTTCACGTCGTCATCCTTATCTTCTTCATCGTCCTCCTCTGCTTCCTCTTCTTTCTTGTCAACCACCTTCTCATCTTCTTTCGTTTTCTCCTCTTCTTCTTGCTTATCATTCTCCTCTTCTTTCTCTTGTCCCGTTTCTTCGTTTTTTTTTTCCGTCCCTGCCGTTGGTGATGTTTCCGCTCCTGGTAATTTCGTTGCCGCCCCAGCTCCGGGTAATTCTGTTACCGATACTCCTGCTGCTTGTGACTCTACCGGTTTACCGCTTAGGCCACCTTCTCCAGCGCCACCAGCGTTGTTGTTAACACTCTGATGATTATTGCCGTTACCAGACTTAATGTCTTGAGGAACTTGAGGTGTTTCAGAACATCCACCACCGCCGGCAATACCGCACCACAGCACGCAGAGGGCGCACACCAGCAGCACACGGCCAGTCATCATCGCAATCACGGCTGCACACACAGTCTAGGGAGGGACACAGAGAGGAAGATGAGAAGAACACACACACACACACATCATCATCATCAGCAGCAGCAGGATGGAAAAGAAGGGGTGGCGCTGACATGAGGGTTGTTGTCATGAGCATGGGGGACGCGTGCACGCAGGAAGAACAAGCAACAATAAAGCACCGGACAGCACGCACACAACTCCACGGCATGTAAAACCCACCCGCAGCTGCCCCCAATGGACGGGAAAGAGGGCGCAACAGTGCGGCAGGAAGACAAAAATGCCGGTGCAGAAAAGGATCCCAAAACGGCGTGAAAAAGAAACAAAGTCCTCCCCCACAGTGGCTACATCCAACACGCAAATAATAATAACGGAAACAAACACCACACACGGCAACTCACAGAAGCAGTGAGTTCCCTGTCGCCAAACTTCATGGCTGCCCGCCACCGCACTCCTCGGGTGTCCATCGCTCCGCCGCCTTCCTCCTTCCAGCGGCACACAATCGGGTCCATCCGCACCCGTCGCCACGCCACACTCAACGACCCAACAGGCAACCGCCCAACGACTGTTGCAGAAACCACACACCCGCGCCAAAGCACGCGACGCAACATCATGTCAATTGGACCCCGCCGTCAAAAGAACGTCATGTCAACAGTTTGGCCGGCACACGGTACAATCGATCGACGGAACAGAGAAGGAAGGCAGGCACTCGATCAAGGACTCTCCAAACACACATACACACAATGCTCTTTTGATGCCGCCGCTGCTGCCACGGGAACGGTACCCGAGAGGAAAATGACAAGCAGTAAAAAAGCCTCGCAAGAGAAACCAATCCACACGTCCATATGCAAAGCGCCACTCAGGCTGCTGCGGCTGCAGGGTCCGTGGGCAAAAATGCGCCTTACTGAATCCCGCCAGTTATGTCAGTCTCCCCTCCCACCAATGTAGCGCATAATGCACGGCGTGCGTCCACAGGCATCCACTCCCGGTGCCCTAGCAACAATTCAGAAACGAACGCAACAGGAGTAATACAACGAGCACCACACAATGCCACCGCAACAGCAACCACACCACAGGGCAGCAACACGCCACGCACCGATGTTTTCCTCGCCCACACACTTCATTTACCGCACACCTCAGAAACACACATAATGGGATAAACAAAGACCACTACACAATGCCGAAGCAGATAAATAAAAATAAGAAAATCAAAACCACACAGATCCCTCGCACACGCACACAAACACAGCACAGTATTCTCCAGAAGAAGTCAAAAAAATGTTTATCCCTAAACCTATTAAAAACACGCGTGGTGCCGACACATTAGCGACCAACACAAAAAAGGGAGAGTGTACACAGCATTCCACTGGTAAAAAGTATACAGACAGGCAGAGCGTATGTATATACTGATAGGGACATGCCAGTTGATATAGGCCTTTCTCTCTTGCAGCCACTGCTGAGTGTTGGCACCGCGGCGGCAGCGGCAAGCAGCAGAAGCAGCGGAAAGGGACAAGCCGCAGCCGCATTGTTACTGCCGTGGACCGGAGGCGGGGCGTACTTCATGTCTGCCTCCCAACCCCCGCGCACCACCGCCGCGTCATCCTCCCTCGGCGGAGGGTCCACGGCGCCCTGCGCGTCATCAGCGGCATCAGGGCCCTTGGGTCCCGTGACTGCGGCACCGCCACCGGCCTTGTCGCTGGCGGCCTCATCTCCTAATGATTGTCCGACAACAGACGTCACACCATCGGCGGCGACATCGTCGCTGTCCGAAAGACCGCTCTCCTTCTCCGCCTCCTGCGGCGCACCCGCGATGTCGCTGGGCAAGAGCACTCCGTTGCCGTCGTGGCACCTGAGGCGACTTCCTTCTCTGGCGACTGATGCTTCTGGGGAGCAGCCGTGTCCACATCCTTCGGTGGTGTGCCACGGCCGGTCCCAATGCTCTCTGGATCGAGGACGGATGCCCGTGGCAATCCTTGTTCAGTAGATGCCGGTGGAACCGTCACGCTCCACACCCTCTCTCACATCGCCGTCCCACGGAACCATTGGAAGCAAGCTGCCGCTGGTGGCGGATATCGTGCACACCTGCGCGTGGTCACGGAAAATAGCGTTTCCCTCGTCGTAGGGCGGAGTGGCCCACGTAATCGTCGCTCCGTCCGCGCATGGGACACAACGGACGTTACCCTCTCAGTCAATCTCAGATGCACCTGCATGCCGAGGCACCGCAATGCCGCATGCATGGCAGCACTCAGATGTATGTTTCTTCATGGTCCCTCGCATCCGTCGTGTTGGTGGGAAGCGTGTCCAGACACCACGAGGCGGGCTTGTCCCCAGGCACCGCAGAAAAACATTCTCCTCTCCAAATAACAGCGGCAGCATCCCTAGCATCCAGTGCGGGACCACTGATGGAGCAACTGTCCATCGGGCGTTTTGCTGACATTTCATGGATACTCCGTCTACACACCAACCACTGGAATACCAATCCGACGTGCAGCGTCTCGCAGGAACGCTCGCTTCGCAGGATATGTGGGAATATTCACTCATGTTCAGTGCGGAGCACTTCCACCGCAGTAGTGCACAGTTCGAATTCCTCCACCAGCGCATCGACTCCGCCATACTCCACTTCACCCTCATGCAACCCAGTTCAGCCGATGCGGCCAGCGTCAGCTCCGTGCAGTCGCCGGCACCTCCAATCGATGCCATCCACTCATCCTTCGCGTGGCGCTGCGACCAGTGCGACTCCAGCGTCCTCCCGTCCCCATCGTCATCCTGCAGCTGCATGCCATCAATGTCGTCGCAGTCGTGGGGCTCCTCGCAGCCATCGCGGCAGTCGTCGAGTCCACCACCACCGACAGCGCCGCAGCCACGCACAGCACCATGTCAGCATTGGCAACACCAGTAGAACAATGCCCAGCACGCACCGTGAACCGACTGCAAACGCTGCCCGTGGCAAATTGGGGCACAATCAAAGGA